CCTCAAAATCTTCCACGTACCAGTTTAGCCTCTCCAAAGATGCTGTCCTAGAATAGCGCAAGCAAAATAATCCCAACAGTCCAAAAAGCATTTCAAGCTGGCAACAAATATTTGTAATGTATTTTCTTTATATGCTACTAACTCTCAAGAGAAAGGTGCTTTTAGAAAAACGTCCAGGCTTAAATGAAAAAGCACACAGCAATCAACTTTTATTCCCAGCTGGCATAAAACCGTCTAACTGGTAGCCCAATTTGGGATGCCTGAAGACAGACAAGTGACTAATACTAGGGCTGTGTGTGGCCAGGACCAAATGTATTTTTCTGACCACAAGACCATGTCTGGAGTCTCCTTTGTAATTACCACACAACCTACTGTAATTGTAAAACTTATATTTACTTCCTGCCTTTGACATATAATTCAGGGTCCAAGTCTGCACCCCGAACTAGAGTGAAGTCCTCTCTATTATTTGCCTGAAACTTATAAAAATCATCATTGCGTGAGGGTGTGTGTGTGTGTGTGTTGCCACGTCTGTTGAATGTGTTAAGTATATCTTTCTGAAAAATACCCCACTCCTGCCTCGTTGGATGAAGCCCTTCACTAATCACATGTTTATTGCACACTATTCCTGCATGTCAAGGATATTTTGGACTCTAGGAAACATCAGTGAATAGGACAACAAAACCCCTGCTTTTCTGGAAGAGAACGAGGGAGGAAGAAGTAAAGAGAAGGAAGGAGACAGACAAGAAAATAGCACTCACAGACACGTGCTATGCAGAGTCACAACAGAGTAATGTGATAGAGAATGCATAGGTGGTTTCTTTAGCTTGGAGCATCAGAGAAGGCCTCTCCAAAAAGACGACATTTAAACTGGCATTTTAAAATGACAAGGAGTAAGAAAAGCAAAGATCAGGAGGAAGAACATTCCAAGTAGGTTAGTGTAAAGGCCCAGTTATAGGAAAGCCTTGGCACGTTCCAGAAACAGAAAAGACCAATGTGACTCGAGCATGATGGGTGAGAGGGAGGCTGGGCAGAGAGGTTGGCTGTGTGGGCCACTGTAAAAAGTATGCGTGGGGGAGTCGTGCCCTTGTTGGCAGGGATTCTAGTTAGGCTACTGCAGAGGTCTGGGCAGGAAGCCATTGTGGTTTGGACTAAGATGTAACAGAAATCGAGTAGAGCTGGATTTAGATTTAGGGAATATAGCTTAGAACCAGTCAACGGAACTTGCCGATGGTTTGGATGTGAGGAATGAAGGAAAAGGAGTAATCGGGAATGACTCCAAAGGTTCGGCCTTGAGCACCTAGGAGGTTGATGACTGAGAGGAGCGAGGCTGAAGGCAGAACCGTTTAGCTTTTCATTAACAGTCCTAACTGACTAACCATGAACCCACATCTTGGGGTCCAATAAATGCCCTCACTACCCACTCACTCTGCATTACTGGGGAATATTCACACACTTTCGGAATCCTTGACTGTTCACTTACTACTGCTTCAAGCATTTCCATGGTTTCTGCTTCTCGATGTTCATTTTATGACATAAAAAAAAAATCACATTCTAGTTATTGATATCTGCTATGGGTGCTCTGTAAATCTTTAGTTCCTGTCCTGGCTTCCCTCAGCACTTGGCTTGGGTGCCCTGGGCCCAGGCACGGGTGTAAGGTGCGGGGCTGGGGTCTGCCTATCTGGTTGGAAGTTACAACATACCTGCTATATGTATAGAGAAAATAACATGACTAATTTTCTTGTTTTTTTTCCTTTATAATCAGGAAAATTTTTGTGATCTCTTTAATAACAATGAAACTGATTGAATCTACTCATTTCTTTATTATAATGCCGATGTTTTGCTTTAAAAAGATTGTGGGGGCTTAACTTTCCATGTCTATACAATGGGAATAACAATAGAGTTGTTCTTCGTGGGGTTTTTTTTGAGGATTAAATGAAATAATGTATATGACGTGCTTAGCATAGTAGCTGCTATGTAGCATTCAGTAAACTTGAGCTATTACTATTAAGAAAATGATAACTTGGGGGAGCAAGGGGTGGCTCCCAGAACCAATAAACTGGTTTTAATATTCAAATTAACAAGGCCAAGAAAATGGAGCCATATATCAATTTACTAAATCCCTGCGTGATTTGATCTATATTTTTTCTCTAATCTTCCTTTTACCAGGCTTATCAAAAAGTTTTGTCTTTGTGTCAGCTACATTCATGTAAGTGATATTTATTGCCAGATGTGACTTTTGTTAGCACATGATAGAATCCCACCGTTAATATCACTTTCTATAAATACAGCTTTCGGGTGAGGAAATATTCTGTCTCAAGAGAAGTTTAGCTACTGAGAATCTTCTCTTTTTAGACTCTCGGTCTGTGGGCTATTACTCACTGTTGGCATTCTTCCTCAGTCTTACTTTTGCTAAACCTTCTTCTTTCGTGATCACTGATGTTGATTTAAGTTCCCCACTCAACTTTCCCCAGTGGTTGGCATTGCACTTGAGTTGTGCTTCTTTGCTTCCTCTACCTTTTGAAATTTGAAAATAGAAAATAAAAACCCACAGTCTTTCGCATCGGTCGAACTCTGTTATTCATCTGACAGGTTTTCCGGTGAATTCCACAGTGTCACATACACAGTCAGAAATCTGCCATTGGTTCAGAATAAGCCCCATAAGAAACGGACAAAGAGATACTCGTATTTTGACTGTCAGACACCCAATCGGAAATGGGCAGCAGCAGGAGGAAGCTTCGGGAAGTAAATTAGGGGCAGAATCCTCCCAGCTCTGCTCTTTGCCTTTTCTCCTCACCTGTCCAGCTCTCCTGAGCCCTTGTGTGGAATCACTGGGTTGATAAGTCTTTCAGGAGTCTGGCTCTCGATGCCATGAATACCAAAGACAGGTCCTGGGAAGCACAGAAACCCTTCAAGAGTCTGAGGAATATTATTTCAGAGCCCTTCCCCCCATGTCATAGCAAATGCACTAAAATATGGGAACCTCCACATTAAGTATAATTTTATTAGTGACAGAATTTCTTGAAGATATTTTTATATCTTTGGAAGTTTTTGCTTTGGAAGTCGGTTGGCTATGAACAACTGGTTTAACTTATAATTGGCTATTATCAGCAATTATCTTAGCATACTTGGCACTCACTAAGTTAAAAACTAAATCTAACATATTATATTGCTTCGAAATATTTTTGATTACCAGATCAACAGTGAAGTTAACCTAATATTACATTTTTAGATCTTTAACATTTATTAATTCAATTTTGTAGTTATAAATGGTTTTTGAGGCTTCAGACATTTTTATAGGCCCTTGAAAAGCTGGGAGGGCCACGGCACTGTACCCTAATGGCCAGTGGTTAAAAATGCTCTGCCTGGAAAGTCTTAAGCTCTGGGGTCTTCAGGCTTGCCTTCTCCAAGCAGTGAGAGCCGCTTTGAGGGACATTTCTCTAAGAAAATACAAACTGGCATGCAAACGCCACTGGTCCGATTAAACAAGGCGAACCCCCTATAAAAAATCAGAGTAGTTGGGGGCAGAATCCCTGGATTCCAGCCTTAGTTCACTGGGTGACCTTGAACAAGCACTGTCCGGCCCTTTCCTGCCCCCAGTTGTGCTTTTCTAGACAGACATTTCATCTGGCCAAGGTGCAAGGCCAGGATCATCAGTTCTAGAAACCGAAAGATGCACAGAACCATCTGAACCTGAGACACAGTTTCCCTCACACATTAAAAGCAAAGTGGTTTTTAACGTCTGTATTACTTTGCCAAAATGAAAGAAGGAAGGGAAGAAGGGAGAGAGTAAAGAAGGAGAAGGGATAGGGGAGGACAGCGCCATCAACCTTTGTGTCTAAAAAGCTATCGATTTCTGACATCTCTGCACAATGATGTCTGCCCTTTCCAGAAAGAAAGGCTTTCATAGCAGATACTCTGATTATCCCATTCAGAAGTCACCTATCATCCGTTTTCCCTCGGGTGGAAGGCAAGTACGATATAATGAAAAGAATATAGATTTCAAAATCAAAAAAGCCAGATTCAAGGCTAGTCCTACCACTCATTCACTCAGCAGTTCTCAGAAGTCGTGGGCCAGGAACCCATGAAGACAAAACTGTCTTCATAATAATACTAAGATGTCACTTGCCTTTTGCTTTCTTTTCATAAACGAACTTTTCCAGAGGCCGCATGACAGAATATCACGACAGATTAGATGCATGCACAGATATCAACATCCACTGTCTTCTAATAAGCCAAGCATTAAAGTTCTTTTAAAAATGTAAAACAATGCCACTTTTATCACTAACATTTTTTGTTCTGGGAAACGTAATTACTTTTCATTTGTAGAATGTCATTTATGTTAACATGGAATGGGGTGGTTATTTTTAAATGAATTAATAAATTATTTAATTCCTCAGCCTTAATGTCTTATATGGCAAATATTTATAGATATAACCCACATTTAAAAAGTGCTTCGGGATCCTCAGTAATATCTAAAAGAATGAAAGTATTCTAAGACCAAAAAGTTTGAGAAACCGTGCACTACCCAACAGTCATTATCATCTACGGAATGTTTCCTTGTGCCTGGAGCTCTGTAAAGCACATTACATTCTTAATCTCTTTTAATTTTTGCAACAAAGCTATGAAGTAGAGGCTTGAAAGAAGACCTTGTTACTAGCCCAAGGTCTCACAGCTGGAAGTAAAAGAGATAACCAGGTCCCTCTGACACCAAAGCCACACTCTTGATTACTGGACAGCACTCCCTCACAAATTAATTCTCCGTAACTTCGAAAAAGTGCTTTTACTGCTCTGAGTCTCAGTTTCCCTGTCAAAAACGGTCAGAATCCTACCTACCCTGCCTGATTCTTTCAAGAGCAGAAGAGTTCATGTGCATCAAAGTGCCTAGCACAGGGCCTAACACCGAACAGACCCTGAGAAACTGTTAACCCTCTTCCTTCTATTCCTTCTGTCCTTGGCATATTAGACCAGAGAAGCTCAACGGCTTTCCTTTTTCTCCTTAGATGGTCTCCAAGCAGACAGAGAGGCCGATGGAACAGAAGGAGTTGATGAAGATATGATCGTGACCCAAAGTCAGACCAACTTCATCTGCCCCATTACGCAGGTACTGTTTCTTCCCTCTTCCCCGGAAAGAAAAAGCAGTTCGCTTCAGGGAGGCAAAAGATTCCTGTCTGATTTCACGTCAGGCATTAAGGAGGAAGGAAGGAAAGGTGACGAGAGTAGAAGAGTATATGTGGAAGGTTCTTGGGCCGGAAAGAGTTTTCAGTCGATCACATCCTTAAGGAATAAGTTCCTGGCCCACAAGCCAAGTGGCATTGGTGCCACTGGCCTCCCCGCATTTTCTGCCCTAATAATTACCTAAAGCCATGAGATCGAAAGGTTAAACACAGAAAGCCCTGGCCCTGGGGAAAAAAACAGTGCCAAATAATTGGTGACTTGGAGAAGTTACTGGAAGTGAGTTGTTATCATTCCTGAAAGCTTAATGTCCCCTTGATTGCAGCTGGAAATGAAGAAGCCAGTGAAGAATAAAGTGTGTGGCCACACCTATGAGGAAGAAGCCATTGTCCGCATGATTGAGTCCAAGCACAAGCGGAGGAAAAAGGCCTGGTGAGTTGCTACAGGAAGGGAGCTGGAGCCTTCCTCGCGGCAGTCAGTCAGTCAGTCAGTCAGTCAGTCAGTCAGTCCTGTCCCGTTCCTGCTGGAGGAGGAGACGCTCCCTGTCTCCCTCAAGTGCGGTCACCTCCCACAGAGTGCGAACCAGCGTGGAAGCCGGCTTTCTGGAAAAAAACAATACATGAGGGGAAAATTAGTAATCTCCCCGGGAAGATGCTGAAGAAACTTCAGCCACACCTTTTTAGAACAGGAGAAAAAGGAATTGGATTAAATTTGAATCATTTTTAATAACAGGAAGTTTTATGAATATGTGCTATAGCCTGAAAAAAATACAGGACAACCGTGATAACAAGAGGGGAAATCTTTCATATATTTCATTACTTCGGTAACTTCAGAAAAGGTTTAAGTGAATACATGGATAATAGATCAATGAGAAAAAAAATTATTTTAATTGGAATATTTGGAGAATTTTTCTTTTATATGGATATTTGCACCCCCTTCTCTCACATACTCATCCCCGTCAGACCCCCAGGGAAGACCAAGGTCTGTTCCTGCAATAACAGAATCCTGAGTTGGCTAGAGGGGTTTTTTCTAAGAATGTGTTCTTGTCACGGATTTGGAATTATCGCAAGGAATGGAATTAGAGGTGTGACCTGTTCTCCATGGACTTCTGATAACAGTCCCTTTGATGTGTGGTTTGCTTCTCCTTCGCCCAGAAATTTGCTGGTCCAGACCTAGAATTGGAATTCCCCACCCCCCCTCGTCCGGGTGTGGACATTTGAGACTGTAGATATCTTGATGGCCATTCAGTCGAGTAATGTACCCTATTTATTCTAGAAGAACGGCCTAATGGTTGCCAAACAGAGAGAGTTCGAGTGCATTTTTATCTGTTCTGTGTTTCTAGCGTACGGCGTCTCGTCCTGTCGTGTTTCCCTAGTGAACGTTCCATTCCACCCCCCGTGAATGTAATTTTCTTTGTTTCTGGACTTCTCAGTCTTTCCTTTCTCCTTACTATTTTCTCTGTTCATTCTCTGAAAACATGTTAAGTTTTTACCATAATTGCAAAGAGTGGGTCTTCCCCACTCGTTCTGTTTCGCAGCCCTTCTTCCTTAGAGTTTGTGACATTCTCGTAGAGTCCGACCTGAGGAGGACAAGCACTGAGCAAAGCTTATTTCTCATCAGTCCCGGGTGGGGGGAGCGGGGAACAACTCTCAGAGCCGGCGTCACATTTAAAGGGATCTTCTTAATCACGTACTTTGACTTTCTAATGTCCTTTGCCTTTTTTTGAATTGCGCGTGATATTTGGAAGCACATTTGTGACAGTAACACTTGTCATTTGGAAAATGTTTTGGTTTTTTTTCTTTTTTTTTTCTGTCACTCTTCTGTAACTTGGATGCAGATTCTGCAAACTCTTCAGATTCTCATAGCTTCATAATAACAATTAAGTCCAAGCGGAAGAAATCTGGGAGGTTTACAGGGAAGGTAGTATTTTTCCTGGGCCTTGAAAAATGAGAAAGATTTCAGAGAATGATGAAGAAGAACCTTTCTGGCCAAGAAACTCACCCCACTCAGAGCCTAATATACTTGGGGGATAGTAGGTACAGTTTCAGTTGTTACGTGTTTGAGGGAGACTAGAAGGATGACGGGGACACTGGGGGCGTGGTGTAAGGACTTATTGTACAGGTGTCAAATGTCTTGATTTCATCAGTTTTCTCATCTATAAGTCGATGCTCATAGCTGTCATTGCCCCACTGGTATGTTTGAAATTGGAATAAGATATCTATACAGTACCTGGCACATGTTAAGACTCAGTACACATTATCCATCGTCATCATCATTCTTGCCACCATCATTCTAGAGGGAGTAAGGACGGCCAGCCTAGAGTAGGAAGTTACTCCAGTAGCAGTTCGCTAGATGGATTAAGAAGGCATGAGGTGAAAATGTCAGTTAGGCAGACTAGGCGGTGTGGTGAGTTATAAGTAATGAGAGCTTGGATCGAGGCAGGAGTCATAGGGACTGAGAAGGGAACGAGAATGAGAGTGATTATGGAGGTCAAACTGTCAGAATTTGGTACCTGAAAGTTGAAGAGAGGTGAAAGATGACTGACGTTTATAAACAGGTGTCTGAAAGGATGGCAGTGTCATTAGCCAACAGAGAGGGCATAAGAGAGGAACACATGTGGGGTCACGTACAGTTGGAGGTCCCAGGAATACAGCCATTTGGAAGTAGCCAGGAGGTGCAGAAAATGTGGGAGAGGTCTCTGAGCTTGAGGTGTTGGTGGTGAGATTATCGGCACCGAGGAGTCAAACCCACGTAGCTGCCAGCGCAGACGCAGCTCTGGACTGGGTGTGACTTCCACGTGGGAGCCAGCAAGGACAGGGCCTAGGCTCGGCTCCCAGCATCTCGGGGCCAGGGGCCAGCTCTGCTCTGCTCGCCCTGATCTAGACCCTCACAGAAGCATTTTGCTCGTTAATGAAAGGGCAGAGGAAGAAGACCTGGTGAGTGAGAGAGGAAGAGAGACGAGAGAGCTGAGTGTCTTGGGAGCCGCTGTGGGGAATGAGCTGGGTCTTGAAGTCGGGTGCGTTTGACAGCAGATTAGAATCCACGGCCTCCTCGCAGGCAACTTCAGAGCTTCCTGATGAAGCACGAAGTCATGTCATTTCCCATGATGCGTGTTAGGTGCTGAGCAGTTCGGTGTTCCCTTCATTCAGACATGCGTGTGACACATCCAGTTTGGGACCTATCGATTCTTCCTCCTCGATCGTTGTAGCGATGTCCGTTAGACCGGAGTTCTAGAGACCCCGTGTTACAGGTGCTGACTGAATTTTACTGTCCATGTTTTGGTCTCTGCGAAGGCCTCGCTCCACTGGTTTGAGTCAGAATTAAATCGTTGAGACTTTAACCCTAACTAAATAACAGTAGTTAGAATCACTTCCTACAGTACATCTCTTAAGGCTCAGGCTATGTGTTTTCTTACTAATAGAGCTGCCGTATGATTTTTATATTAATAAGATATTTCCAGGTTTCCATAGTCATTTCTTTCCTTTTTTAAGAACCGGCGCTGTAGTTAACAAGGTCGCATTTACGAGCGTGTAGAGTCAAGCTGCGCTGGACAGAAACGGGTTGAACAGTGGGGCTCCAGCCTGGCGCTCAGAGCCCCTCGTAGAGCCTCTGTTTCTTCATCTGCAAAACGGGAATAACAACATCTCGCAGAATTCAGGATTAAAGAAATGGCAGGAATTTCATCCTAGGTCTAGACCAGCAAACTCCTTGGCCGTGCAGAGCTAACGACTCAAGAGAAAGCTTCTTGGACCGCAGAGCGCTAAACAAACAGCATCACGGCTCTGCAGGTTGAGGCTTGGTTTTGTTGCTACTTACCTTTCTGTCAGTGCCGCATCGCGTTAAACTCAGAGGATGTAGAAAACCATTACTCTCTGTGTCTAGGTACGATAGGAATCCATCCCACTTGGATTTCCAGAGGTGATCTATACACCTTCTTTCTGGAACTTTCTAGAGTTGGCTTGGACCTTGGAATTCTTGAGACCCACATCCAGGAGCACACATGACTCAGAATCTTGTACTTTTGAGTCAAGGCCGAGGTTTCCCACAGCTTTCTGCGGCCCTTATGCCCCGGGCCCCCTCTGTTGAGCGGACGCCTCCATGCTTGCTTGCTGCAGCGATGGAATGTTCTGTCCTGTCGGTGACCTGAGGCCAGGACCCAGCCTCTCCTTCAAAGCCTGTAGGTCTGACAATGAGCAAGGGCTTAAGATTAGGTATTGCCACACCTGTCTTGCTCACCAGGATGTCGTGGAGATTAAGATGCGAATGCTTATATAGAGTGCCCTGATTCAGGATCATGTCATTAGGGCCTTGTCTTACCCTCAAAAATGTGTGTCTGCGTTGAGATCAGGTGAGAATCAAGGTTCTCCCTCCGGTTCCTGCCTCAGTCTCTCCTCCAAGAAGCCTGAGCAAAATGCCCCTCCCCCACACTCCCAGGGGTGCCACACCCTTGTCCCACCAGCATGGTCTGTGGGGCTGGCTCTTCTCCACAGGCTTCTTGGGAGCAGAAGCCATGGACTAGAGCGGGAAGTGTGCATCGTAGCACCTGAATGAATTCCTTGACTCTTGTCACACATCATCCTACTTATTTCTCACAAAACCCTCTGCTCTACCTTCATCTTTATAGAAGAAGAAGCCGTGGCCCAGGAATTAAGTCTCTTGCCCGGAGTGTCCCAGCTAGGAGGCATGAGCCCAGGTCTTTTTCACTCTTGAGCCTGTATTTATGTCATGGGGCTGACTGGCTCCTCTCAGAAGGGCTTTTTGGTTAATGCTTCTGTCCCCAGAGTTTATCCCCTGAGTGAGCTCAGACCTCTGTGTTTGACACAAGTCACCCCTCTGAGATGGAGGTGCCTGCCTGCTCTGCAGCTGAGTGGTGTGGTTAATCCCATCAGACATTCTCAGAATGCTCTCATTTACTGACTAAAACCACTGATGTCACCAGGAAGTCCTCCCCACCTCCTGTCCACTTCCCTATCCACCGCTTATTCATTGTCTGGCCATCGGCGTGAAAACCTTTGTTCCAGGAGCAGGGAGAGGCCAGTCACAGTGCATGTTCAGTGGCTCGGAAAACTTTAAGTGAGGGTCATCCCAGCCGCCTACTTCGAGCTGTATTTCCATGTCACAGACGTTTCGGTGATGTCCTGAAAGCATCCATTTTCTTTTCACATTCTCCCTACTTCGAGCTGTATTTCCATGTCACAGACGTTTGTTTCGGTGATGTCTTGAAAGCATCCATTTTCTTTTCACATTCTTGACTATTTACTTTCGTACTTAAGGGATTCACTTAGAGGCATTAGGGTGTTCGGAACTAGTCTAAGACATTTCTCAAGCACCTCCAGTCCTGACTCTACCCCAAAGCCAGGTCACCAGGACAGGGCGTACCTGGCCCGATCAGATCACCGTGATTCCTTGCCACACGGTTGCCTTTTTGAAATCATGTTCGAACACAGGTATCTGACCATCAAGGGCATGTTTTAGTATTTTAAAAACAAATATTGTTAGCAAGCATATTATTCATTACAGTGATCGATGTCCCTCTAACAAAGTCGCCTTGACCCAGAGATCAAGGCTGAGAAAAAGTATCTTTTACATGTTGACCTGTTGGGCTTCCGGCTACTGGACACATTAGAGCTCCTGGGATCAACTTTCTTCACCTTCTGGTTTCTGTATTTTGTCTCGTATTTGTTATTTTTGGTCTTGTTTTGTATTTGTTATTTTTGATCTTAATATACCTGTGCTTTTTGGAGAATTGTCTCAGATCACTGGGCCAGAGCTCTCTGTGGGCAGAAGCTGTATTCATGTTTCACAGTTGGATGCCTAGAACCTAGCACAGAACCAATCACGTGGAAGGGCCAGACGAATGCGTGAGTGTGCGTGTATGTGTGGGAGGTGTGCAGACAGACAGATCATCAACTTTAAACTCTGTTGGAAGAGCAGTGATCGGGGAACAAATGACAGTCTTGGGAGATCATGAAGGGAGTGAAGAATATCGAGCAGTGTGTTGCCTGTCGCCCTGTGAAACAGGGATTCTCCCCCACTTTAAATCGGAGAGAACAGAGGCTCAGAAAGGTAAAGTTGCCTGGTAAAGTGAGACCTCATAACTAGCAAGTAGGTGGTAAAGACAGAATTCAGACCTAGGTCAGCTTGACTGCAAACATTGGCCGTTCTACTCAACCTAAGTCTGGTTCATGTTGAGAAGAAATCAGGTGACTTCATCCAACCCACTGCCTTCAGAGGAGACCACATCTAAACAGAGCCGTGGCTGCAAGTTCCCCCCAGGTGGATGATTCACACGCTGAAGTCTTCGGCCACAGCAGACGGCCCTGTCAGCCCACTCAGTCTCTCCCCTGGGAGGACTGGTGGGCACTTCAGAGGGAACCCAGGCCAGCTGGGACTCCCGACTCCTTCCCCAACCTGGTTTTCCAGTTGTTCCCCTTAGAGATCAACCACCCATCAGCTCAGGCCAAACTCTGAATAAACCTCTTCTCTCCACATGATCCATCAGCAAATCTTAGACGTTCTACTTCTGGTTCTGTCCCGAAGCAGATCTCCCTCATCCGAGCTGCCCTCTCTCTCCTGGACCGGTGCAGGATCCCACTGTCTCCTCTGCTTCCACTCTGCCCGGGTTCTCCATTAAGCAGCCAGAGCCATGTTTTTGAAATGTAAACCAAGTCACTTCCCTCCCCAATCCTAAACCCTCCAGTGTTTTCCCTTCGTATTTAAAGAAAACCCAAAGCCCCACTCACCCTCCCACCTCATCTCCGAGGATGTTCCCTCTTGTCCTGGGCGTTTCAGCCACCCTGACCTTGCGCTTACTCCAGGCCACCAAGCTGCTGCCTGACCAGGCCCACACACAGCCCTTGTTCTCGGTAAGACCTCCTCAGTGAGGCCTGTCCTGACCCCATCTACCAGAGCCTCAGCCCACCCTCCCCGTGCCTTGACCCTGCTTCCTTGTCTTCGTAGCAGGTGAACTGTAAGGTGAACTTACAGTTTGCATCTGGCTGGTGACTTGGAGATTATCTGTGTCCCCCATCGGAAAGGGAGGGCGGGGAAGGGGGCACTGCTCTGGCATGGCCTCTGCCCCTGGCACTGCACGGGGCCTGCCTCAGGTGGGCAGGCTGCGAATAAATGAACAAGCGTAAATCAGTCCTGATTTTTTAAAACATGTCTCTCTGTTGGTACAATGCCTCCGTTTAAATCCCTGCTGCGAGAGAAGCGCATGCAGCATGCATTCAAGTGAAGTGGCCTGACTTGACTTTCTCACCCTGCACAGTTGCCCTAAAATTGGCTGCAGCCACACGGATGTGAGAATGTCTGATCTCATCCAGGACGAAGCGCTTAGAAGGGCGATCGAAAGCCACAAGAAGAAACATCGTCCATCAGAGTAGACAAAGCCACCCGCCTGCGGGGAAGTGCTCAGCCTACCTCCTGCCCCAGCCACCGTGGAGAGCTGTACTTATCGAAGCACATAGACCTGCCGCATAGCTTACTTTGGGGTAAAACTTGAAGGTTTTAAGTGTAATCGAAAGCATTTTTTCTATGTTACAATAAAAATTCAAGGAAATTCTATTGTTTATTTTTAAGTATTCTGTAATTTTAAATAAAATTTTGACTATCTGCAGTATGTTTTGTCTGTCTACCTCCCAAGGTGTAAACACTTCCAGTGGTGCAGGCTGGGTGGTGCCGGGCCTTTCTGTTTTTAATACTTAAAACTGTTTTTTATAGTTTTAACTAAACAATGTCTTTCAAGGGATATTTAAAATGGAAATACGTAGAAACAGCCAAATTGCAAGCATTTTCTATCAGTAAGCAATAGCATGAGGTTATAAAGCAAAGCCAGTTTACTTACCTATATTTACTCTGTATGTTGGCAGTTCCAAATGTGTAAATGCTTTTCTTTGTCACTCCGACTGGCACAGAATGCTCCCGGAGCAGACTTATCGGTACCGTGATAATCGGTGCCATGATAGCTGCCGCCCACAGTGGAAACTTTGCTGCGGCCTGAAGTGGTGTCCGTGGGAAGCAGCCCCGTCCTGGCTGTTCCCCACCTTGTGTGGTGTCTCTCTACGAGTGGCTTACCCACCCTTGACCTTGAGTCTTCAGCCACGAAATGAAGATGTCGAGCCTGACGTTCTCAAATGGCCCTTTAGCCCCAAGAGTCTGTGGACCTACAACTAGCAGCGTCTTAAAATTGAATATCATTGATTATATTCTAATTGTGTAAAGAGTGCTAATCTATTAACAGTCTCCATAGCAAACTTTCATTAACTAGAATAATTAATGAAATCAGACAAAGCACGCCCTGACGACACTAGGAAACCAAGGATAGCTAATAATGGCCAATATTTATTGAGCACTAACTGTGTACCAGGTGCTATTCCAAAGTGCTTTACATATATATTATCTCTGATAATCATCACAGCCTGATGAGAGAGCTACGGTTATTATTCTCACTTTACAAATAAGTAAAACAAGGCACAGAGAGGTAAAGTAACCCATAGAAGTTCATAGAGCTATTAAGTGGCTGAGCTGGTGTAGTAGGTTGTCTCGTGTCAGGATCTGGATTCTTAATCCCACACTTGCCTCTTCTTCCCCATCTCCCCCTCTCCGCCCCCCCCCCTCCCCGCCTATTTCTTTAGAATCTAAGAATATATTCAAAGTCCACATTTAAAAACTAAACCTTTTGGTCTACGGCCATGCTACCCTGAACAAGCCCGATCCCATCTGATCTCGGAAGCTAAGCAGGGGCAGGCCTGATCAGTACTTGGATGGTAGACCACCTAGGAAGACCAGGTGCTGTAGGCATAAAAAATAAGGGATTGTAAGCTGACAAGGTCCTTGCAGTCTGTGAGGTCAACCAAGGGTTACCGCACCTAAAATAAATAAATAACGAACCTTTTGTAAATAAACAGGCATATCCGTGTGTGCAAAAATTGACGTCTAAGAGGCAGTGATGCCTATGGAAGAAGAACATTTGAGTTTAAAAGCATTGTCTTAAAACAGCAGAATTAATTTGAAAATATTTTCATGGAATTCAGAAAGTGGTATGCTACAAACTGAGTGATTTTGAATTTCTTAAGATGCTTTATCTACATCAGACTTCCTGAGGAAATGATTATGTTTAAGCCAGAACAAACATACTTTTCACGGGTTGTGATTCTTTTGTGAAATACTTTGTTTCCTAAACAGATAGAGATGAGCATGAAATGTTTGCCCAAGATTCAAGCTGCATTTTTCCCAACTCTTTCCAAAAAGAATCCTAAGATATTAGTGTAAATACCAATATCTGTTAGAAAAATGCAAATGACGCTATTCCACTGTGGAAAAGGGATAATATTCGTGTCCTGTGAAGCTTTTTGTTTCTCTTTAGTCTTCAGATACTATATTTTGTATATTTGGCCAATTAAAGAATTTGAAGTTTATATCAAATTTATGTGTATCTTTGAAGATTTACCATTTGGTTCTCGTGATCAATCTGGCATATGTGTTACATTTCTGTTAACGCGAGTTTTCCCAAAACAGTGAAAACTTTTCTCCAAATGAAATCATATTTTTCTGACCGAGAGACTCAGTAACATAAGAAAGACGAAAGGGGAGCAGCGCTAGTCGAGGCGGGGGCGGGAGGTGGTCCCCTCCTTCCCAGGCAGCCCCACGGCCCTGTCTGAGGTCACCCAGGGCCCCATGAGTAACATTTGAAACCGCACTACGCATGGTAGCTACATCATTTTTTTTTTTCCAGATACAACTGATTTAAGACTTGGACAATTGTGTGAACATGGCATTTTTCAAAAACGCTAGTTCCTTAAGAAGCTTCCAGTTGAGTGAGTGTAAAACGTGACGACAAACTCCAAAGGATGAAATGATTGCTTTCTCACCTCACGTAGAGCCTCAGGCACGGAGCATCCAGCCTGAAGTGGCTCCTGCAGTGAGGCTGCTCCCTGAACTCTCCCCAGCTGAAGTTTTACGTGAGGAGAGAAATTCCAGGCCTCAGACGAACCGAGGCCACCAAGAACTGGTGGCTGGCTACACACCAGGCTCAGGTCTAAGTGCCTTAAATGTGTCACCTAAGTGAATCCTCCCCACAACCCAAGAAGGCAGTGCTTCTTACTCCCATTTTACAGATGAGGAAACAGGCTCGGAGTCATCAAGTCATTTGCCTGAGGTCACTCGCGAGTGTGTGATACAGCCCGTAGCGGAATGACACAGTGAGTTCAGAAGGGAGCGTGCTGACCCACAAGGGTCTGGGACCATAGAAGACAAATGCGCCTCTACCCCATCTTCCTTATTTCTGTTGCGGAGACCACCGTTTCCCGGGCTTGCAGGCCCTGGTCCTCCATGCACTTAGCATAGCCTGGGGCTCCTCCTTTCCCTGCTTCCCTCCACAAACGCTCCCCGCCTTCCCCGCGCGTCCAGCCTCTCTTCCTGGCTTTGCACTTAGACTATGCACTAACCGTCCAGCTGCTCTCCGACCCCTAATCCGTCTTCCCTACATTAACCTACTAGAATACTGATGGGGTGACTCCACATCCTACTCGAAAACCTTCCTTTTCCCACGAAACGAAGGTAAGGCCTGGGATTCAGGATTCTACCACAGACCAGCCCCACAGCCAGCTCTTCCATGTGACCCTATGTCCCCAACACTTCAGTTCACCTCCTGTCCATACAGCAAGGTTTCCTCTGGGAGGAGCTACCCCTCAGTACTCCTGATGACACACACAGATGACCTTGGGCAAGTCATTTCACTGCCTCACGCCTCAGATTTTACAAATAAACTAAAAGATTTGGACTTCTCTCCAAGGTTTCTTTAAACTCTAAGATTCCATGTCATGTTTTCAGAATGGATCCTGCGGGAAGTATATGGCCATTGAAGGAAAACAGACGGACATGAAAATTAGTATATATTTGAACCAAATGCATATATTGCATCTTCAACTAGTAATTCAACAAATACTTTTTAAGGCCCACTTTATGCCATGTTTTATGCTAGTCTCTTCGGATACAAAAATCTTCCCTTTCCTCTGGAGGGCTTCTTGTCTAGTTGGGGCAGACAGGTACGTAAAAAAATAAATTCCAAACACAAAAGGTTATGTGAGTGCCGTGTATAGCACGAAGAAAAGAAATACTGGAAAATTATTGAATAAACAAAAGTTGTTTTAGTAAATTAGGCAAAAAGATTCCAAACAAGTTAATAAAACGTCTTTGAAACTTTCTGATTTAGAGATAGGGGTAAATCATGAGGGTTGATTACCCAGATGTACTGGAAATTAATGTTTTGGAAATCTGCCTTCTAGCTTGTGTCAAATTTCATGGAAAGGGGTAACTATTCTGAAAAGAAGGAAGTTAAAATGGAGGGGAATAGGAACTCTCATACATTGCTTGTGGAAATAAAAATTGGTGGAACCACTTAGAAAAGTTTCTCTTTTAAAAGAAAAAAAAGGTTAAATATAAATTTCCCACACGACCCAGCAATTCCACTCCTACATATGTACCCAAAAGAAGTGAGGACATACGTTTATACAAAGACTTGTGTACGAATGTTCGTAAGTAACATGATTTATAATATCGACAAAAGCGGGAATAATCTGAATGTCCAGCTGGCGAATGGAAAACGACCAAAGGGGTGGATCCAGACCGTGGGATACCGCTTGGCAATAAAGAGGAGTGAGGTACTTCTCAGTGCATGACATGCTACAACATGGCTGAACATGACGCACTTCTGTGAACTGTCCAGAAAAGACAAATCTGTAGTATGGAGAGTAGGTTAGCACGGCCTGGGGCTGGGGGTGAGAACGGCGAGTAACTTCGAACAAGGGATCGCTTGGAAGTGAAGGAAAGGTTCTAAAACAATTGTGGAGGTCGCACAACTGTAGATTTACTGAAAGTCACTGAACCCAGCACTTAACACAGGTGAATTGCATGGTCCATGAATGATACAAACAAATAGGCTGAGAGGGGATGGCCTTCCTCTCGGTCATTTGCAATGTGTGAGCAGCTATAAGAGCTCTTGGTGCCCAAAACTCAGCCGGTACCCGCGTCTCTAGCAATCTTCTAAGAGCAGTTTTTGAGTCTTAAGTGTAAAGATGAGAGTGAAATAATTTTATTCAAGCCTCAAGAAATCCGGGATTAAAAGAAGCAATGACTAAAAATGAAAACTTAAGCGTTAATAAGTGGATAAGATGGATAAAATCAAATAGCCATTGATAACAATAAGGAACTTAACTTTACCTAGTTCTATTTTTTGTCTCCCAATTATATACTTATCTTCTATGCCATAATCACTAACAGTTATCAATAGTTCTAATTAGCTACTTTGACTTTTTAAAAGTATAAAGGAGTGAAAACCATGGGCAGTTCAATTCTCTATTCACCCTGCCACTGGGAAGGATGAAATTCAGTCCCTAAAGGTGACCTGGTGAGCAGAATAACCCAAATGTATGACAAGATCATAAATATTTATGACCACAGAAAGAAACATTTAGTGGGGATTTTTTTTTTTTTAATGAGCAAATACAGAATTCATTTTCGAACAAAAACAAAAAGAAAAAGCAAGATACATTTATAAAAGGAAGCCCCTCACGGGCCATCCTCTGTCATAAACAGAATGTAACCCCAAAGTGCAGTG